ATTATAAAAATTACGCTGTTTTATTAAAAACATGTGTTTTAGCAACATTTGAACTAAAAATTGCAAATCAAATTCTTGAAATTTTGAAAAAATTAATGAGAATCCAAAGGAATCATAGGCATTTTTTTAAAAAAAATTCTTACAAAATATTCATTGTACTCACATATCGTGATTGAATGATGTTAAATTAACATAGGAGCCAACTTATTTTTATCCTACTTCGCTCCTGGAAGGCTTGTGCATGATATCGCTCAACCATGAACCAGTTGAGCGGTAGATGACGAGTCTACCCTAATAGAAGCCAACTAGTAACAATAAATTTCAGTGTTTGGATGAATAAATACAACAAAATTCAAGTCTTTCCTCATTCTATATATAAATGAGATTAATTTGTAATATTTTTTACATAACATTTTCACTGAATTTTCTCAAATAAGAAAAAGATGGATGTTTAATGAAAATTTCATTCAGAGACCACCAATATAATAAATAAAACCGTCATCATTGTATATAGAAGACAAAAATGAAAAATGTTCAAAAATTTATATTAGGCATATTTTATTGTCAGCAAGTAATCTTGTCTGTAAGAAAGCAGAAAGAAAACTTAAGCCACACAAATCAACAACTTTTTGAATTACATTGAAAATGACCATTAATTATTTGTAATCTCGGCATAGTGGCTTCAAGCATTTGAATGATTTTTATTTTGCTTTTTTGGTTTTAGGTTTTTCTTATTGTTGCTTGAAAGGACGTGTATATTGTTCTCCATATTAAACTTATAATTTATTAAAAAAAAAAATAAGTAGCGAATTCAACTTTGTAAATCTATATAATTAAGTAACTTCAATCAGATGCATTTTGACGGTTAGTATTGTGTCTGTACATGTTACATATGTGGTTTTTTGTATTCTAATTGAATTGATCATAATGAAAAATATTGCACGTTTAAAATATTTTTGTAGGTGCAAAAGCTCTATTTTATTTAAGTGTATAGAGGAACAAAGTTCTACAGAAATGAAAAGAAATTTAAAATTTTAATAGTGAAATTTAAAACGCATTATGCTGGGAAAGAGGGAGAGAAGGTATCCATTAATCTAATTAAAATTCTTTTGTATTATTGACTAATAATCGTTTATTAAGGTATGATAGTCATTGCCCTTATGAATGTTAATTTACACATTTAATGTGCAATTATTACAATCCTTGCAGATTATAAGGGTTAATTCTATTTTGAGCATTATACAAATTTTGAACTATAAAAGCTACATTTTTGCAGTTCTTAAATTTAGTTCGAACAAACACCCTAGATTAAAATCAAAATCATACTTAATTCGTTCAATATGTAGTTAGGGTTATCTTAGACAAGCTGAAACAATGAATATAACAAATGGAAAGAGGACAGAAGAAATATTAGAATTCATCTAGTTTCAAACCTGTATTTGGTTTAATAACCCTTGGTATGGAGGGCAAATGTCGTTTATTTTCAAAGTTTAAAAAGATTGTCTGATACTTATTAGACCAGTTACTATCTTATTGATTATGGCCGATTTTAAACCGGTTTTATTGATATTGTGACGCCTTTTCTAATGCGTAATACGCAAACTTCGTCGTTTGAAAGAATTTAATTCGATTCATACTTCGTAAACATACGGTTTTTGCTGATATGCGTAAGTTGTTGCCAGATCCAACTTACGACAAACTACTCCAAATCCCCAAAAATTATTTTTTTTGGGAAATTTATCCCATAAAATGAATTTTAAGTTAATTGCGAATATTGCTGGTTTGGATTGATTTGAACATGAAACTAAGAAAACTACTAATACGTTTTGACTTAAGTACTTTTACTTGCTTCACAATAGTAGTGAAGCAAGCAAAATTTTCTACAACTTAATTAACAATAAAATTCAATGGTTTTCTTTTTTTTTAAATCGTGAACATTATTGACATTTCAAACCTATGTAAATTTTACATTTTGAAATATGGTGTGTAAGTTGTATAATAATTTTATATATTCGCGGAAGAGTCATTCAAATGCACTATCAATTGTAATGTCCAAAATATAACAAGAAAATAAAAAGAGTCATAAATCCATCTGTTTTATGAATTGCTCAGTGCAGGCATTTATTAAGGTTTTCCAGTTTTTACACTCTTAATTTATATTTCTTTACAAATTTATATAGCTATTGCTATGATCATGTAATATAATACTGCAGCATGTACATATATAGAAATACAAACATATATACCTGCACACATCACGTTAATACTGCAGACATGCGATCGAATATTGCACCTGCTTAGTTTTTTTTTATTTTCGGTTTTTTGTCGTTTTAAAAAGCAAGATCAGTTTGTGTGAGAAAATTTTTTTGAATCGATTGTATTTCAACCCTAAATGATCCTTTTGAGATCAGGCATTCAGAATTTTTAACAACAAAGTTTGTTATAAATTTTTAATTTATTTTTTGGTTACGTTTTTTCTTGAAGTACTTTTGAATCATTTCAGGTTACTTAAGGAATTTTCCCTTTAAGAAGTAATTTGAGAAAAAAAAGTTTTTTTTTTTCTTTGTATGCAAAATTATTTTTACGGCTTTGTTTTTTCTTGTAATTTGATCCTTTTCAAGTGATATTGCAAAAAAATTTATTATTGGTTCAGTATTTTTAATTTGTGCAAGCAATACAATTTATATGCGCATGTAAAAGCGTTATGTTGATGAAAATATGCATTTAAAGAGTTGAAAAAGAACTATGTTAACTAGCCCGTAATAAAGATATTTTGGGTTGTAATCAAAGGAAAGTTAATTCAGTTCAAATTTCTCATTTCGTACAACATTTAACTATATTACCGTTAATTTTTTTCCTATGCGGTTTAATTCTTGTTAACATCTTGGTTATTGTGAAATTGCAAATAAATTCCATAACCAAGATCCAAATAATCAAGCAGCTATCAGATTCTAGATTAATAAACAATAAATTTCCTAGATGACAATTTCAAAAATTTCTGAATTGTTTTGTTAAGTATGCAAAAAACGCAGACAGAGGGAAATGCTGGAAGCTCCGCACTGATTTCAAAGGAGTTGCGTTCTTCCGGATAAAGTGGTTGAATTCACCAGTGACCGAATGTAAGGGCGTGCAACGTACTCATTGGAGGTTACAATAAATCCTTACGCGACCGACAATACAACAAATCCTTACATGCGGTCGCGGCTGTACAAATCTACTATTGCCCCAGCTATATACAAATTTATAATCTGTAATGTAGAAAGAAAGAAGTGTGAACTGAGAAAATAAACTTAAAGTTCGACATCCAAAATTTTATTGTCTATTTTATTGTCTACAAGAAAAAATATATTAATATCGTGTACTTTGTTATTTTACTCGCCAAGTAAATAAAATAGCAAATAAAACGAATTTTTTCGTATTGCGTGCCTCTCTTCTTCTATAATGTGTAAAAAATTCAGTCATTATTCATTCACTTTGCTTTTGAAAGTCATAGGTTCAGTTAATATTTTGAGAAAAGCTCATAAAATCTAGTTGAAAAATTGACTAATCTTATTTGGAAAAATAAAATTTTTAATGAAAAATGTGAAATTTCTGGTTTGAAAGTGAACAGCAAGAGAGATGCAAAGTTGGACATTAATTTACAAATAAAATACTGCTTTAATGTTGTAAAATGAAAAATATTTTTAAATATACAAAATCAAAGAAAATAAAAACAAACAAAACGGAAATAACAATAACATTAAAAATTTTGAGAAAATTCAAAATACTTGCATTCCAATTCGTACTTAAAATGTCAAAAATTTTTGCATTTTGATTTTAATTTTGAATCAAGAGTAAAAGCAAAATGATGAACTTCTCAGATAAATTTCAGAGTATCAGTAAAAAAGGTTATTAAAAATCAAAATACAAATAGCACTATTAAAAATTTTATTATTAATTAAAGGAAACGAAACTCTAAAGCAAAAAAAAATTGTTTTTCTTTTATTTTAGCTCTCAAAATTAAATTAACCTTAAAAAGTAATTAAAATGAGAATTCTATTACAGCACTAAATTTTTTTTTATTCATAATTTCAAGTTCATAAACCGGAAAATCTTTAACAAATTTGTAAAATAATAAAAACCAAAAAGAAAACTTATAATTTATTCATAGTTCTTCTTTACTTCATTTTAAATAATTAAACATTTTTTAATAAATTTTATAAAAGTTGATACAAAAAGCATTTCAAGATCAATTTCAATCAATCAAAAATATAAGAAAGAAACAAAACTTCACCCTCTATAATTAAATTGTTGCCATTAAAGAAATTGAATTAAAAATTCATTTCATGCTTTTGAATGCTTTTTTTTTGTTGTCTTCTTTTAATAAAATTCTTATTATTAAAATTAATATTTCTAATTTTCATAATGTACCCACAAAATATGTGTACGGCGGTGTACAAGTTGTTTCATACTTTTGATACGCAAAAATTAACTGATATGGGATGTTAAGTGTTAGAAAAGAGCAAAGGAAATGCACGTTGGAACTTTGTACTTTATCAATTGATCAATTCAATACCAAGCACAATGAATTTAACTGCGGATTTTTTTGGCGAAATCGCACTTCTACGATGGTAAGAATGTGTGAATAAACTGCTTTTAATAGCATTTTGATCAGTTGGTCTCCATTCAACCGAATTCGTTTTGAAAGATCGGCAGAATCAATTTTCATTAAAATTTATATTTGAATTTACTCTTGTTATGTCACGGATTAATCGTCTTCCGGAATATGCTAGGTTTCAGGAAGATTTTTGATCATTCGTAAGGAAATATTCCACAAATTAATTTTGCACTTTATAATATACAAGCTTCTTCTGACAATACGACAAGTCATTTAAGTTTTTGCAGGTATCAGGCGTCAGCAAGAGAACTTTTATTTGTTACAGGTTGTATTTACCGCACTATCATAATATTTTACCTAATTAACAAAATTTTTTGAAATATAATATTTGAGTTCGGTTTACCATCGGAATTAACTGCCGAAGATTTTTGATGTTCAAAGCATTTAATAGGTGTAATAATGTATATTGACGTATTAATGATGGATTTTGTTTGATCTGATGAAAATATGGTGAAAGCTGAATGTGTAAGCATCTTTGTGGATTTTACTTAAAATCAAATTTTGGATGAAAGAAGTGGAATTCGTCGTTCAATTCTCATTAGATTTTTATCCGTTCAGAAATGGCTGAACTTAAAATTTTTTCTACATTACCACGGACGGGTTTGTCGTAATTTTGTCAAATAATTTCTGTTTGATGTACGAATGGGGTCTTATTGTCCCTTACCAGTTTTTAATGATGAAACACCTTATCCTATTATAATATTATTTTCCATTAGTTTATAATCTATAGAATTTTAATTTTTTTCATTTTTCTATTGTTTATTTTAATTTTTATAATAAAAATTAAAAAAAATTCATTAAAACATTTCTTTTCATCAAAAAGCAAAAATTGATCTTTTCAATAAAAGACAGAAAGTTGAAAATTTTACTATGGCTGCAAATTAACACTATAAGAGTGCAATAATTCTTCTATATATTCAAATCATTCCCTCTTCATTAAAATTCCAATGAAATCATAATTAAAATAAGATGAAATTATACGATCCTATAAATAAATTACAATTCATAAATGTCTTCTTCTTCTTTTTTTTCGGCAAGCTGTTCATAGTAAGGAGTGGTTTATTACAGAGCTATTCAAAAGAAAAAAGGTAAAGTTTAAAAATTTCTTTTAATAAAAAAAATTTTATGATATTTTGGTTTTTGTTTTTGTACTTCTTAAGAAAAATTTAGTCAATAAAAAATATTCAGTTTCAGTTTTAAATTTTAATTATAATAGACTTCTAATTTATTTAATAGAAAAAAAAATTGTTTTATCTCAAATGATTGTTTAATTAAGATCGTTTAAGAGAAGAAATAAAAATGAAATTTCACTTTTATCTTGACATTTTATGGTAAAAGAGGAAGTTTTATTATTGTGAGAGCTGAGAATATAAAATGTACTGTAAAAGTACTACAACGTTTAGCATTTTAAATATCAAGATGTCAAATTTTATGTACGAGAAAATTTAGGTGTCACGTGAAGCATTTTAAGTAGAGTGTATGACGTATAATCAAACCATAATAGAAAAGAAAAGTCAAATTAGAAAACATCATTAAAAAAAATTTCAATTTGTGACGCGTTTTACTCCGATAGTTGTCAAATTATGCAAATACACGTTATACTATATTCTAACCACCTACTATTATTATAAATCGGACAAAAATTAAGAAATTTTTTTAAATTTCTTATTAAAGAATTAATTCATTACATATTGTTTTCCAACATAAGAAAAGCTATATTGCTAAAATTTAGAAAGTGAGTACTTTATTCAATTGAAAATGTCAAATTTAACAGAATGAATGAAATTTAAATGGGAATTACTAATTAGAAAATAAATTCCATTAAATCTTTATTATGGCATGCTTTCAAAAAAATATAATCAACTAATATAAGAAAATCTTATATACAGCAAAACTAAATTAATAAAAGCGCAACAATAAACACAACTAATTGGCAAAGCGAAAGATTTTTTCATAACCTTAAATTTTTCTCTTATATTTATTTATTCAAGTCAAACATTAATCATAATGCAAATTAATACAATTTTTTTTTTTCAATTACCAACATGAAAGGGCTTTTAATTAACACAAAACTTCACAAAACCTTTAAGAAATTTGACAAGCAAACGCAACTTAAAAATTTTCAATTAACCAAATCTAATTAGTTAGCTTATATGTGTGGTAAATACTTTTTAGTATTTAAAAAATTTCTCCTCATTGATGAGGTGATTATCTCTTTGCTATTTTTAAGTGTTGTAATTGATTATTAATAATTTTAAAATTTGTATATGTGTGTATGTAATTTATATTAATAAAATGTAATTTACTTTTTAAGAAAAAAGAAGCCATAAGTTTTTGAACTTGACCCATAACAAAAAAGAAAAAAATTAATAATTTTTTGTATTTATTGTTAATAAGTAAATGTATGTGTGTGTGCACGTACATTTAAACTGTTATTCTGAAATCTTTCTTATAAATGCTTTTGAATGAGAAAATTTTGGAGGCGCGTATAAGAAATACACTAGTAAAATAATTAATTGCCATCAGGTAAATATGCGCTAATGTTAAAAGTTAAAATATTTTTTAAAATTTTAATGAAAATTTTTAATTTAAGGACGCACGTGTATTCTAAACAAGATTCAATAAGATAATTTTGTAACTTTAAAAAAACGTGGCGCTCCAATCGAATTTATAAATTCTTACAAAACAAGAAAACAATGTTATTTGCTCCTTATTGTTACCAGGTAGCGTTTTTTAGATTTTATTTTCATTTTATTTTGAAAACCAAATTTTGAAATGTATAACACATTTCGACTACATCACCCAGTATAAATTTCTATCAACACATTCACACAATTGTACAGCAATATAATATTTGCAAATTAAATTTTTTTTTGTTCTGTCATTTGAAGGTTAAAAAAAAACTTTCTAGCAAATAATTTAAAAGTTATTCATAAAAAAATTTTTACGACATTTTTACTTTGTTGTTTTACTTTTTTGTTCCTATTGATATTGTGAAATAATTTATTTAATTTAAAGTATATGATTCAGATTCCCAAAAAGCTACAAAGAACCTTTACGAAAATTTATTTTCGAAGAATTTTTTTTTGCGCGCTCCCAATATTTGGCATATTTATGCAAATATTTTTTATAAGATCAACTTTGTCTGAATTGCAAAGGTGACTTTAAACATTGTCTTTTTTTTATAAAATTAATAATAATAAGGATTTCAAATATTAAATTGAATTTAATAACGCAAATTTATTAATAAAATATTTTGGAATTAATTCAAGAAATAAGTATAACAATGAAAATATAAAAAATTTTTTAATTTTAGATTTTACTGGCGATTAAGTAAGATATTGTGTTTAAACAGGATATGTTGTGTATTTGAAAAGCTACTTTTCGCTGGGACTAATTAAGAAGGCCGAACCATTCAAATTTGAATCATTCATATTGAGGAAATGCTAATTATTTTACAAATAGGCCAATAAAGGATATTGGATATTGGATAAATATAGAAGTCAGAAATCAATAGGGAGTTGTAAGGAAATTTTTATAGCACATAATTTTTGGTATTATTGATATTTAACACATAATTTGGTATTTTGGTAACACATAATTTTGGTCATATGTTTAAAATATAAAACGTGTGGTTAAAGAACTGGAAAATTTTGCATCCTGGAAAATAGTATAACATCCTAGTAGACGAAAACATGATATTGGAAAATGAAAATATTATTCTTTAAAATCAAGTTATTTCTAATCACATTGAAATTTTAAGACAAAAGAAAGTGAATAAACAAAATGATATTTGTGTTGTACATAAACCTATATAAATCCCAAAAAGCGTCAACAAGAATTACGAAGCTTGGTTCAGAAAGTAAAATGCAGAACATATTTAGCAAGCGACTGTTTGATTGCCTCTTTGTATTCCGTAGGTTGATGTTCAAATGCGAGCACATTTAACTAGATCTTTGCATGCAATTAAGCAATCAAACAATTTGTACTCGTAATATTTTACAAACTGTTTGCCATTGCAATTTTTAGTTAAAGCAAGCAATTCTAGTTGACGCAATAGTTTAGTAATTTAAATGTGGGCGGAACGATTTAACAATTAAGGAGCAATATTGCAAAACTAAAAATGCACGCCTGCCTGACCCCTTAAATATTACTCAAACATTAAATCAGTTTGGTTCTTCAAAATAAAATGAATAATGTTTATAAAAGAAAAGGTTACTAAATATTTTTCAATACTATTTCAAGGAACTATAAAATCTAAGATAGCTAAGACAGTCAAATTCATCTGGTTTCGAGAGGAAGGAACAAAACACAGAAACTGAAAAAATTATAAACTAATCACCCAACTGACTGCTACATCTTTCTTTCGCAGGTTTCAACGATTCAACAAAAAAAAACACCAATTACGCATTATAACAAGTTCTTAGTGTATTGAATTAAATTTAATAAATTACTTTAACTTAAAAAGAAACTTCAGCAGATCACAGAGTTTAAGATTAGAAAATATTACTTATAGCTTCAATATTTATGTTGGAACATTCCTAGAAACTTGGTTTTTTCGATTCTTTCATACCAAATATACACACATAAACAACTACTTATATATTATACATTCTTAAATTCATTAATATTTTTTGAAGAGAAAAAAAAGACACTTTTTTAAAAAACTAGTTACAACTTATAAAGAAGTAATCAGTAATTCACATTTAAAACACGTGTATAAAAATATCAAAAAACTACTAATAAAACGATCTTTATTTTCCGTTCGACGCTTTACTCTTCCTCCTTCAAATATAATTATGCATGTTAATATTAAAAGTCTTCGTGTCTATTGTCACAATCATTCAACATCATCTCAAATAAATTTACATTTTTAGTATCTTTCAATATTGATTTAAGCAACATTTTCATGTAACACAACACAAGAAATGGTAGTTACTAAAAAATCATCAAACAAAAAAAACTGATTATGCACATTCATTCAAACATGTAGAAAACAAATTGTATGATTGTAATAACAACGAGTTGGATTGGAAAACTGGTTTTTCTAATTATCATTAAAAAATCAGTGCATTTTAATTCATGATTCTAAAATTCATCTTTTTTTCATCTTTGTTTTCATAATGCTTTGCAAAATATAACAGTACTTTTGTGGCAGGTTTTTAAATACCTACCACAATAAATATTTACATTCATACCTATACCTCGATTTTAACACAAAAATTTTTAATTGTTTTGATTTTCTTTGTGTTCAATTTTTTATTAATATTTCTGAATTCTGAGGGTTTTTTTTTTCTGAATGAAATTCTAAATTAATTCTTTTATGTTAACGATGAAATGAAAAAAATTTGAAAAAAAAATTCCAAAAAATTAAATTTTAATTAATTCAATTTTAAGGTATTTTATTTTTGGTATGAACACACATCTGTTCTTACCTTTGATGTTTGTTTTTTACTTCAACTTGAATAAAAGT